AAAAAAAAAAAAAAAAAAGCATCAGATTCTCCTCCCCTACTGTATACACTCAGCCAGCAGGATGACTCTGGAAGAGATGTCCAGGTGTTGGGAAGTCATTACTATGGAACTAACGATCATGACTCCTATTTATACAACAAAAACCAGGACCTCATCCCTAAGACCCCTTTCTGCCATGTCTTCAGATTATGAAGGGTAGGCTGAATTTTCTTTGTATAAAGTACTAAAAATTGCAAATAATGGCTTAGTATCCAAATGCTTTATGAGCAAATTTCACTTAGAAGGGATGAATTTAGATTAAAAAGTATAAACCATATTTTGGTGAAATGTCAAAAATTACTGATTGAGCCCAAATTCAACCCTTTCATACAAGCTGTGTCCTTGGACAGATCTTTCTGTTTCATAGTGTGAATGCACCTGTTCCATCAAGACATCAGGAGTAAAGAACATGCAAGTTGTAACTCCACAATAAAATTAAGAAACGTTTTGTTCTTTATACAAGGTTTTACTTTTACAAAAGTATCCCTTTAAATAAGATGCATCTGATGTACAAAGTATCAAACGTGTTTTTGTTTTTTTTATTCTCTCATTGAAAAGAGGCTGGAAATGGGATGCAGTTTAGGTTCAAAGCTTAAACTTTGTAACAACTGGACACAAGGTTCCTCAGAATCGTCAAAAGTCTCTTGTGACGCGTGCTACAACCTTTTCTCAATAAACAACAATATATGAAATAATTACCAAAACATCTCCTAATTCATATAATTTACATGATATAAGCTTGCTTGATAGCAGCTGGTGTTCAGTCGTGAAAAAACACACAAAGTAAAATGGTTGCTGACTACAATGTACAGCTATTGCTGGGTGTGATGGAATGTACAGACGGAGGTCGATGTAGACGAAGTGTTTCCACCGGAGATATTGCCTTTCCATGCAGCACTTGTGCTCTCAGCTTTAACTTGGCTTTTGGTTCTTCGTTCACCCTCAGTATCTGTTCTGATGCTCATAATGCCACCGATTAAAATCTATATTAAAAGCTACAATGCTACCAGAAGCCATGCCAGTGATCAGAGTCCTGGAAGTTAAGAGCGATACAAAATCATTTACGTGCCTGCTAATTTTCACTAGACAGTATCATGATCTCTAAGTTCACCAACTCTTTTGTGTTCACTGAGATAGGATTAAAAGTTCTCCTGGTTCTGCTGAGAGAAGCTGATTCAGTCCGGCACCTGCCTGGACTGCCAAGCCCTGCTGGAGAGCATAGGGCGACCTCACGGAACCATGGTGTCAGCCTCACCTGGGCACCCTGCCACCTCTCAGCAATCATACTTGTGCCCGTCTACTCCTTCCTATGGGACAGCTGTTGGCTTCTCTGAGGATTTCCGGCTTTTCTTCCTATCTCTCTGACCTTTCTTCAGTCTCCTTGAATCACTCCACTCCTTAAATTCTGACAGCTCTCCTTGGACGCACATGCAATGACATGTGTTTCTGAAGCCCCAGGTGCGATTTCCCATTGCCTACTGGATGTCACTGCCAGGCTGTGTCACAAAAACCTCAGATTCAATACATCCACCCTGGATTATTGTCTACCTACTGACTTTGCTGGTCTTCTGCCAGTTAAGTCACCCTTGCCTCCTCTCCCGCCTGCCTTCCAACCAATCAGCCATCCGGCGCTCAGGCCTCTTTCCCTGGGATGCTTCCTCCCCAGCCTCACTGCCACTGACCCAGCTCAGGTCTCATGAGCCTCTGTCGACACCAGGACACCTCACTGGGTAAATACTTTTTGAGTATTACACACCCCAAATTATCTCTCAAATTATAATTTATATGCATGTGCTACTGTTTCAACAAATAAAGGGCATTATAAGACAACAAAAATAATCAAAACTAAGGATAAGATTAAAATAGAAGTTGAAAGTAAATTAGGATCTTTCCTCACTCCACCTGGAGTGGAGACCTCTAACACTAGCGTGACTCTAAAATGCTCTTCGGTCTACCCTCTCTGGCCGAGCCTGGTGAGTGGATGAACAGCTCAGGAAGTCTCTCCTGCTCTCCCCTGCCCTCCAGAAGAGTTCATTGCTTCCTCCTCCTGTCATTCTGTTCCTGCTTCCCTCATACACAATGAGATTACGATTATTTGAGCTCTTTGGGGTCAGTACTCTTGTTATGCACTTTGCATAGTACTTCACCTAGGATGGGGCAGCAAATGTTTGCAAAATGAGTACAAAAATGAATAAGTATCGGGAGAATATTTAAACTACTTAATGCAAATTATTTCAAACACTGTAGAAATACCATGGTAAACCATTCCCATTTGTTCATAAATAGGAAATGCAGGACTTAACCTTAAGCTTTCTTTAAAAACATTCTGGGCTGCAGAACAAATATCCCTTCCCCTGACTAAATTAAATTACATTGTTTTTCTTGGTAACTTCAGTACCATTTTACTATATTGTGAAGATACTTTGTTAAATTTATGTCTTAATATTCAAAAATTTTTTTTTTGTCTTTTTCGTGACCGGTAAGGGGATTGCAACCCTTGGTTTGGTGTCACCCGCACCATGCTCAGCCAGTGAGTGCACTGGCCATTCCTTATAGGATCCGAACCCGTGGCAGGAGCGTCACTGTGCTCCCAGCGCTGCACTTTCCCGAGTGCGCCACGGGGTCAGCCCAATATTCAAAATATTTTAAAACCAATATTCTTATAAGAAACATTACATATAATCAAAAAAAGTTGGTTGACAAGTTTTTCTCATTTCTGTTAAATATATAGCAAAAAATGAGATATTATATGCCATATTAAGATCTAGGGTTTTATTTTATTTTTTGATTAATAAGCTTTATTATTTTTTTTTAGAGTTTAATTTTTTTTTATTATTTATTTATTTTTATTTATTTATTTTTTACTTCCTCTGTTTTTATTTTTATTTTTTTTCGTTAAATTTTAGACTTCATATTCCTAAAATTCTTTTCACCTTATAATAAAATCGAAGGTGAATTTCAGGAAATAACAAAATCTTGTTGCGAACTTAAGAACAATGGAAAACCTTATTCATCATTGATTCATATCAACTCTCTCCAAGAAAGGACTAAAGTGTCTTAGGGAAATATATAAAATATAACAAAATAACATAAATGAGAAATAGGTACATAAAAAAATGGGGGGAAAAGATTGTTTCAGGTAATGAGAGAGTGCTTCATATTTTTTTGTAGTCTACAGTATGCATTTTGCTAGAAATTGGTTAGCTACAAGTAGGCCTTACA